TATTCTCTTTACTTTCTTGGTGTTTTCATCGTATTGTGCATTAGGTAAAAAAAAACAGGTGAAAGGTGAAAATTATTCGGTACATTTCTCACATGAAAATATTTAAAAATGTATTCGTTTCGGTATGAATATGGTGGACACCACGAGGGGGAGGCTTCGTTTCTTCCTCGCATTACAAACAAACGGATATCAAATATTATTATTATTATTATTAATTTCGCCAGAGAAATAAATTCGAAGATTAAACTCTTAAGGCTATCGGCTTTTTATTAAAAATTCAACCGCACTTGAGAATCGAACCCACGACCATTGACCTGCTAGTCAAGATTCCTCGCCTTCGGCTACTCAGGCGGATAGGGGATATCAAATAAAAGGACTGGCTACGAATAGAATGTGACTAGATAAGTGCGTTAATTTTAAGTATATATGTACGTAAATAAATATGTACGACGGGTAACGGTGACGGGTATTAAAGATCATTAATATTATTTCTAAATATTCGGAAACCTGAGTTGCGAGGTTTTCGTTCGCAACCATTAACAAATTTACGGAAAATCTTGAGCGCTAAGTAAATCTTATTTGTGACTCAAAGCGCTGCTTGCTACACTGACTAAATTAAGCTAAACACAACAACATAGCATTTTATATAATTCATTAACGACTTGGTTTGAAAAATACAAAGAGTTTTATATTTGTGATAGTATGAATGCCCAATAGAATGTGTTTACGATCAAGATTCCTTGGAGATTTAGCAAATATTTTTGACAATTGTATGTAAAATAAACTGAATCAATGTTAAAAGTTGACCGGCATTCGAAATTCACCCTAAAGCGTGTCATTTATCATACCTACACTTGTTAGACTTTTCTTTCATATCACTGCCGTAAGTGTACAAAATGAATTTCTCGTTGAAGATATCGCTGCGTGTTATTATATGTATTTTTATATTATATATATATATGAATTTTTAATCAAAGCACATGTAAAAACTGATTTCGTAACATCTTTGCAGATGACAACTTTTCAGGTATTATCTTACACTATATTTACTACCTCTTGTCTTAAAGTTTATGTTCTTTGCTCCCAAACGTAGCCCGAGTATCAAGTGTCAAGTTTGAATCTAGGTTTTTCTTTCTTTGTATTTTGATGTCGCAACAAATCTAATCAAAATGTAAGATAGATTTAAGAGCACTATTAGAAAATGTTTAAACCAAAAACTCATAACGTCTTCTCTATTGAGAAGTTTACACACTCGGCAGCCCCTAAAAAGTTAACTAAGCCTTGCATATGCAGAACTTAAGATTTACGCAGATGGTGTAATGACATTTCAATTTTTTAGACGGTTCTTCTTCGATCTTCTCAACTTGAAATGCGAAAGATAAATTAGGATATGAATTATAAAATGCAGGCGACGTCTTAAGACGAACCACTCCACCACCTATGTTTTCCTAATTTGACTGAATAATCTCCAAATTAATATGGGGAAATGTATAAAACGTAATTGCGCCTTTCACACCCAATATCTGTTCGTGGGAGAAATGCTTGCTTAAATACATCTCGCATGTAAGCCTGTAATGATCACAGAAATTTAACCAATTTGTGGCTTTACCAACATCAGGTTATTCGAAAAGTAATTTCGTCTTTTTTTTCACACCCCATGGACGATCGAAGTCAATAAATTTAATCTCTCAGCGATCTCGAGTTATTATTCGTCGGTTTGCAATAATGAATGCCACTATTTTGTTATCATCAGCTAAGACGGGCCTTCCACAACGTAGTGTATCGTAACTTTACTCATCTGGCCGAAACATAACCTTGAAATATTAAGTTTCTTGGAAAAGTTTACTTTTTCTGCTAAACTTGACTTAAAATGACGCTGTTAAGCTCTTATATAAATATATAATGAATAGTGAATGCTTTTCGATATCCAAAGATCAAATAATCCATTATCACTTGTTCGGATCGATGTCTGAGCAGAGTATTTACATCATATGAAGATACACAAAAATTAGGATAGCCTCAAAGGATGAAGAGCTCTTCCAACGTGGTGTCCGAACGCTGCCAGAGAGATGAACAGAAGTAGTGGCCAGTGATGGTCATTACTTTCAATGTGCCGTCATGTGCCATTCTTTCATAACCAATTCCTAATTTATGATAGAAAAGGACAATATCTTACTTGTGCTCCTACTATCTGTAATAAAAAAAAAACCTTCGAATTATTTTTAATCGCGAACTAGTGACGATTTAGTGACGTATTTTTTGCCACTTTTTCTTCAAAGCTATACGACACTCAAATTTTTTATTTTTTGTTAAATTTGTGAAGAATGTTGCGAAAACATATTTGTGCAGAATTAATCCATCTTTACAAATTATATATTGTTGAACATGCATGACAAACGGGTGTATGTATAGAAGCCGAGTCATTGCCTTTTACATGGCAGTCTGTTCTTTACATCGGTAAAAAACGAAATATTGTAAAATGATGGAACGTTTTTTTAATTATATAGAAACTTTTATAAAGAGACTTGATTGATGAGAGAAATTTATTGTGATGAATGTCGTATCTAGGCACTCGAAAATTATGATAATCGAAGATAACATCAAAGCCGCGCCTGAATTCATCGAATATCAGGCAATATCTTCATTAAAATTCATTGTAATGAAATTAAATATCTCTAGATCATCACATTATCGCATTCCGATGGAAATGTTTGGGTCTTTTGTTCCGAAGGACAGCAAACAACTTGAAAGCTTTTGAAAGAATCTATCAAGATGTAGTGCGTTAATTGGTCGCGGCATTTGACCGATTTGTTACTGTGTGATTTTTATCCATAGACAAAGAGAGGACATTATCCTTCCGTTGTTGAAACTATTCAACACTCCTTCGACATACTTCGTCACCGTATAAACCATTAATCTGAAGGAATAAATAACAAAATAAGTGAATACAAGAAAGGAAAACGCTCGGGACATTTAGTTATGGGTTCACTAATGTACGTGATATCTGACAGGTTTGCACTAATCCAACATATTTCAGTTTATAAAGATTAGAAGCTTTATTAATGGTAAAAATCGAGCCAAAAAGATGAACAGTGTTGGGAGCAGTGCAGGCTGTTTATTATTTCCAACGCGTGGAATACCGCATTACAAAAATTATTAAGCGAAATATGCATATGCTTTAATTTGCCTTTTCCATCACCTGCAGTTAACACAATTGCTCCTCTGACCTAGACGTCGAACATAAAAATAAATTGCGTGCATCATAAAGGCGTTTAAATGGCACTCTACCATTACACTACACAAGATCCACAAGCTTAATAATAAGTGGAAGCGAGAGAGGCTCTCAATTGTGTTCAGCATGAAAGGATTTTGGATGACTTTTCGATGCAGGGTCACAAACCCTCTGACCGACCCTTTGAAGCTACCAAAAGTATTACATATAACTAGGTAGGGACAGTCGATTATTGACCTAATGGCTTCAGCAAAGAAGATCGAATACATTTCTCGGCGCATGCTATTTCTTATATTTAAAAATTAAAAAAATTAAAGCCTTTTTGGGGAACTACGCTCAGACGAAAGAAGCACATTGTTCTGTGCTTAGACAGAGGGAAACGGTATTGCATGCGGAACTTTCTATCCTATGCTATTAAAGCATGATATTGGTATCAGGAAAGTTAGGAAAGAGGGCAACTTTGTGGTACTCTGAGCGGAAATAATAAGGCGGCAGCGAATTCGGAAACATTTCGACTATTCGCGGTTCAATAACCGTATGTCCTTGGCCACACAAACTTTAGATGAACCAATTCACAATCACAAGAATTGTCCTTGCGAGCGTTTGTTCATAGTGTCACTGCATCCAAGAACATATAGAAATGCAAGAAGGAGTGTGAGGAATATTGACGATGCGCGTGCAAATATTGACGATGACACCAATTTATCATTTACAGATCGCTATTGGGAACTGGCGAATGGGAGCCATCTCTACGACAAGTTCATAACATATTTCGCGCAGCAAAGTCGAGACATTGTACACGAAGCTCGGTGAGCAACGATCTTAAATAAAAACAAAAAAAACTTATTCATAAGGCTGTACATAGGTTAAAATATTTATCGCTTAAATGTTTTTGTTTAATGTGTTTTTAATATGATCGGATGACAGACGATTAGTTTTACACTTACTTCGGCTGTTACAAGTTCAAACAAATTTGAAATGCTTTCGTAATAAATTTGTTTCAAAAAAAACATCTTTTCCGCCAAAAATGTAATAAATGTAAATTCAGAATGTTTAAAAAATTTAATTAAATGATAACGCATCGGTGGTTGTCTATTTAAATTCAGCATAAGACATTAAAAAATCACTAAGAAACATATATTAATTTGAAGGTGAATCTTGGAGACGCACCGCACCAATCCAAGCGAACATTTACATAGATCATCAAGTGAAATCGTTTTTAAGTGGAGCCATGTTAAATTGTCCCGATCAGTGCCAAGTTAAGTTCTGCACAGCATTGCTCAGCTTTGTGTATAAGCATACACACGGGTATGCTTAAGATTGTTAACATTTGTGACCGCGAAATTTGATGATGATAATAATAATAATAATAGTACAACAACAACATCAGGGTTAAGTCTATCTGCGAGATAAAATTTGAATTAGTAAAAATAGTATACAATCATCCTTCGGTGGCGAGCAAGAAACGTTTAAAAAGTAAAGATTTCGCTTTGCGTGAATTCTTTGAAATTTTCTTTAAACAATTTGACTTCAATTAAAATGAAATGTAATTATATAACAAGCAATGTAAATATTGAGTTTGAAAAGCAAGGCTCACAAATCTTATGGATTACACTCTTAATCACAATAAACAACGCTACCACTAAAACTTGTTCAAAGCATAAGCATTAAGAAATTGAGAGCGTAGGCTCAGTAAATCGTTGTCTTCTTTAAAACAAATTAACATATATTATAATGAAACAAAAAAAACAAAAAACATAAATCGATTTTGTTCATAAAAATTTTTACGTATAAAAGTAGAGTAATGTCAAGGAAATCATAGTCAGTATTGTCTTGTGGTTTGAAAGATTAAGTTGAAGACTGACGGTGTTATATAAGTGGATGAAATTAAATTAAAAACGAATTTAAAAAAAAAAAGTGTTTTCTTAAACGATTCTCTTTCACATACAATACATATACATACATATACAAATCCTCGAAATGCGGCTTTTCTTAGCTTTGTGTATAGGCTTCTTGGGTTGTGGTGCTTTGCCTCAATATGGCTATGAGCAACCCAGCGGCTTTAAAACCAATACTGTACCAGTTAAAGCTTTACCGATTAATAATTTAGAAAGCCGTAATTCATTGGCAATTGACCGACAGCCATTAACGGGATCGATATCTAACTTTGGATTACAAGCACCTATCGAATTATCAAACGCCTACAGAGGTGGTGATAAATATTTACCACCAGCCAGTACAACATTAGCTCCTATTATACATAAGCAATTTTATTTAATTTCGGCGCCAGAAGATCCAGATCCCCAAGGAGGAAAGAGACATTTGATTTTGGGACGACCTCAAAAGAACTATCGTGTAGTATTTATTAAAGCTCCCAGTTCCGGAACTGAAAATATTAAATATTCCGCTGAATTCGCTCCACAAGAAGAAAAGACGGTTATCTATGTGCTAAGCAAAAAGGAAAATGAACTGTCAGCGAACGATATTAGCACTCCAGCACCAATACCAGCTAGCAAGCCCGAAGTATTCTTTATTAAGTATAAGACCGAGCAAGAAGCTCAACAAGCACAAAAAGAAATTCAAGGTAATCCCGACCTGTAAACTGATCTTTTTTTATATAAATATATATATATATATATATATATATATCTAAAATGTCAATTATTTTTAGACGAATATGACAGACTAGGTGGTACTAGTGAAGTTTCAGAAGAGGGTACCGCCCCCATTACTTCAGTTATTGGTAACTTGGATAGTCTCAATTCGGATGGCAGCTACAATTATCACCAACTTAATAACGCCGTAACTGACCCATTACAAACACCTCCTCGCGGGCAATATCTACCAGCACCTGCACCAGCACCAGCACTAACATCGGCATCAGCATCAGCAAAGCATTAAAATGAAAAGATAACATGCCTTTGTATTAATTTATGTTAGTTCGATTGTCTTTCTCGCTTATATATAATTAAATGTACTCTATAAGAATCGTTTTTAAGTTTATACATATATGTTGTTGTATTAGTTCATACGCTTTTTTCATATTTTCCATATTCATCTAATAAAATCCAATTTTAATTTATTTGGAAATAGTTTTAGTTACGAACTAAGCGGACATATCCTTAAAAAAAAGAAAGAAAAACATGTGCCATGCAAGGAGCAATTTGACAGGCGGCACCCTTATACAAGGAGCAACATAACTGGCAACTGTACCACCTTTACACAACAGCACAAATTAATTGAACGATCCGTGAACAACGTGGTCGTATGGAGGTTTGATAAAAACGGGACAGAGAGAGAGAGAGAGAGAGAGAGATTGATTCGAAACATGGCATTGGGCAAAAGTGTAACGGATGGTCAACAATCGATGCGTTATAATATTCAAAGTGTAAATAACCATTAAGCAGGGTACGCGAACCGCTAACGTTGACGATAAATCTGAATACCCATGCTCATGCCCCCGTTTGGAAGTTCAACAAAATGTTGCGTATAATCAGCTCTTCCGACCAACTACGCAACGCTACGAGCAACTCCTAACGCAATTATGCTGAAAAATGGTCGATGCAATCCGACTGTCAACATTTATGTTATCCTAACTGCTGTATGCGTCTTTCACTCGTCGATTTTTTAAAACGTTACCCAGACAAGTCAATTGGACAAAATTTTGAGAAAATATTGTCAGAATATTTCTCATAGAAAATAAAAATGTACAAAGGGAAAAAACTTTTAATATTAAAGAAGACTTAACTTCCTCGTCTGATAAAGAACAACCAGTGGTCCTCGGATGATGATGATCGTATATGACAGTGGCATCAGTTTGAATGACAATGATCTCCTTACTACACTTTTCTTGCTTTTGTTTAAATATGTAAGCATCAATAGTGTATCTTTCCTCAAATCATTATTTCTATCATTTCAAGAAATAAAAAGATCTTAAAGAATCGAAAATGATTAGTGAATGACAGAGACAGAGAGGCTGCTACAAATGCAACTAATTTTGTTAATAATAACAAATTTTGAAAGCAAGCATCTAACGGCTGCATCCGACATTCCCATCGGAACTAAGACCTGACTAGATAGATGACAGCAAATAAAAGACAATTTCATTCCGATAAAGTCAGGGCAAACGCACATTACAATTAAAACAGGATTTCAAATAAAGCGCCTTTGATCATACTAAAGCGACCATAAAGCTAATATAACACAACATCTAAACTGTGGAAAAAGTCCTCAAAAGAAAGATGAGTGGTTTGAATATTGTAAGCAAACTATGTCGGGAAAGAAAGCATGAACGAGAACAACAACAACAACAACAACAACAACAACAAGAATAATAACGACAACTGGAAACACATTTTGTAAAGAAGAGAATTGATAGAAAAATCCTCATCTAACATCTATGCTTGATGAGGGCAGTCTACGATAATGCACTTGCCTTAGATTACTTCAGACCTTTAAGTATAAAATTTTCCATATATCGTTAATAATTTTTTACAACATTATTTATTTGAACCTTTGTGCTTATGTTGACCAATTGCTTCCTTGCCTTTTTTGCGTTTGCCTTTCAACTCTCAATTCTTTTAAATCGGCCAAAGCTTGCTGATTGCTACTAATTTTAAGCCTTGAATTAGCTCGCTTCAAATCTAGCAGCAACTACCTTTTCCAAGTAAATGATTTTATTGTTGTTCCAAATATTGCTATTTCGGACCTGGATATACTTCAAGGGTTGAGGCCACTGAAGTATAGTTGTGTTCCGGGACCTATGCATCGTGCGGCATATCGTCATTCATTCTCATATCGTGTACGGGCCAGTTGTGACGGGTTATTTTAAATATTTTTAATCTCTCTCTGCGATCAAGTGTTTTTCCAGTATATTGGAAAAGTAGCTTTTCTATCCCACTTAATAAAAGTGGGATATATATATATATATATATATATATATTACTAAAAGGTTGTACATGAATTAGTTTAAGCCTATATTGGAATATGAATTTGTTGAATATTCTGCTTGCTACAGATTTCATGTCGACTCAACAGGATCCGCTGGGAAGCAATTCCTTTTCATACCCTTACAAATTTGGGATGGGATCCGTTAGTGCCATTATCCCTACATAAAAGCTGATTGCCACTATTAGTCCTTCCTTCACTAGAAAAGTGTCTCCTTCCTAGTTAATAAATGGCGGTATTGACCCGTCGACCTTATTAAGAATGATAAACTTTAAAGTACCTAATCGTTTCTCGAGAAATTTCTTATTCACAAGGTTTGACTAATGTCAATATAACTAAGGATTTTTAAAACCGTTCAGAGCCCTTTGCACAAAGCTAAATGGTGTCTATTATATAATCTCAATATCGGGCTAGTTAAAGAATATCAACGCGTGATCGGCCGATGTTATATTTAAACTAAATTAACCATCAAATGTAAAGTATCGGTAGTTCCGCAAGATGGTTCAGATATGCTCAGTATTATCGATATCAGCCAATCCATTGCTTAAAAGCTTAGCCGAAATCGTTTAGTATTAAATTTTATCATGTTGAACCTTTTTCTTCTGTGCTTTACATAACTTGGATATATATGTATGTATTATATGGTAGTTACATTTTTATACTATAATTAAATAAATATTTATCATAGCTCGTTACCACGCTTGCACGGGTGCTATTCAAATTTTAAAGCCAATTATTTTTCGTATAATTTTATATAATCATGAGACTTTTAAATTATTATACTCGTCGAAATACTGATTAACTGATTCTTTAGATTTTTCCATATTATTCCATATATTTCGTCTATCATTTCGCTACAAATTTGCTTAAAGCGGCTTTAAATTCGTAAACTCCTGCACCCTAGAAGAAGAGCAGATTTTCTCATTGCCTTGTCTATGTCTTATTTGAATGCTATAGCATTCGCGTCATTCCAGCTGGAAAATTTGATCCCTATTGACGCGAATGCTATAGTATACATACATGCAACGGATGTAACGGCTAACATATGATAATCTGATTACCATTACAAAATGGCCTTAAACAGATATGGAACTGGATATCAGAATTGGCTTGAAAACAAATCAGCTATCATTTTTTGCCCGGTACTAGAAATTTTACGTAGTCAATCTGGATTGAAAGGGATAAATGAAATAAATAAATGAATAAATAAATAAGAGTATTGAAAATGAAGAAAGTGTACTTTAATTATGCGTGTACAGTATAGCTTTCTCGATTCTTGAAAGCGATTTCTAAAAGAATTCACTTTTTTTTGCATTGCAGACGGCTGGCAAGCATTCCGAGATTCAAATCGTTTACAATATTGGGAATATAAGAAGGCTTTAGTGCATTTACAAGTTATTTACGGTATATTCCCTTATTACAAGGTTACCGTAGAAAATCGGTGAGTAAATCTTATTTAATGCATGGCTTTTTAGGGATAAAATAAAATAATTTAAGAGCTCATTGTCCCGGATTCTTTTTTTTTTTTCAGCTTCAACAAGCCCCATGATTACATAATAACATTGTCGGAGGGCGACATAGGGTTGCCGGACAAATATTTCTACAATATCGATCAAAATGACGAGGTTAGTGCGATTTTTCGTTGAATTTCGCTTTAAGAGCAAGTTTTTAATAATTCATTCTCTTGGTTAGATTGTCAGAGGTTATAAACTATTGTTGCGTGACTTTGCCATAAATATGGGTAAATGTTTCTCTTTTGATTATCCGGCACAAAGATCATTAATCTATTGAATTTGCAAAAATTGTAGGCATTGTTTCACGTGAAGCTGAACTATTTGCTGATGAGATTTTTCACTATGAAAAGCGTATAGTAAATCATATTGATTCTGTTAAAAGTTCTAATCCAGTCGGTGAAAGGCGCTTGAATCAAATTAAAACCTTAGCTGAAATGAAGACTTTAGCGCCATCGGTAAGGGGACTGCGAACACAACAAAGAGAGATATTTAAATTTTATAATTTATTTTTGCGTATAGCTCCCGATATTCGAGACATTACAGGCTTTATTTCCTCATACAAAAATTAATGAGGATACCGAAGTTCTGGTACACGATATCGAAGTATTTCACGAACTATCAACGGTTCTTTCGACTTCCGATAAAAAGTAAGTTGACATTTTCCCCAAAAATGCAGTTACAAAAGATCCATGTTTTTTTTTTTTTTTGTTTTTTATTTTGTTATCATCTTTAAGACCCATAAATAATTTTATAATATGGTCTTTGGCACGACATTTACTACCTCATCTGTCCAAGGAGTACAGAAATCTGGTAGAGAATTTCGATTATACCGTATATGGACGCACCGCTAATCATCCACGATGGATGATTTGTACAAAAGTTGTTAAAGAATGGTTACCGTTCGCAGTGGACGCCCTGCAACAAAGTAAAGAAATGCAAACGGTTAGAAAACTCTTTTGACAAAATTATTCACACACACCAACACATTATGCATTAAATATCTATCCTTAGGTTTTCAGATTGTTGCCGCTTTATATAAAAGAAACTATGCGAAATAATAAAAGTTGGGGCAACGATGGGTTTCTTAAGCTGGTTTATTACAGTGTAAGAAACCAATTACAACAATCGATAGAAGAGGCTCAGTGGATACATAAAGATTTGGGAGATTACATAAATGATAAGGTATCTCAAAATAACGGCCATTACAAATCACGGATGTATTATACCTGATTCTCATTTTACGCGATAGATACGTTCCAAAAAGATTCGTGTATTGCTTATATTAAGAAATTTAATAGATTGGTTCCAAACCAAAAAAAAAAAAAATTCTTCTACGAGCTCGGTTAAGAATTTATTTCGTGCTTGCATATCTTAACTCATTAAATATATTATAAAAATAAAAAAATATCTTACACATTGAAAAGCCAAATTAAGTTGCATAACGAATACATTACATCTTTGCATCCTGGCTAACGCGAAGCATCCCACCCATATACGCATATAATCGACCTAGCCTAACTTTATTGGGAAAAATGTAACGCAAAGGTACAATGCATATTTGTGAGAAGTGAAAATGCAAAAAATTGATAGAAATATCAGAAAAAAAAAAAAAAAAAACAAAATCCATCAGAAAAAATCCGCGTTGAAAAAATTCATAGAATATTGAAAGTCGTATTGTTAAAACAAGACAATTCGCGTGAAAAGAGCTTGTTTTTTTAGCTCGTGTTAAATCATATTTCGCGTAAAAAGAGAATTAGGTGTATTTAATTTTATTTACAGTTAACTACTATGCGCTTGCAAATTGGAATACCTGAAGAGGCTTTGAACAATCGTAGCTATATACAGGATTACTATAATGAATTGCTTTTGAATAATTTATTTTTTGTGGAGCATTTGGAGTCCATATGGAGTTTTCGTAAAGCACGCATGGAAGAGAAACTAAAGCCTTTAGATATTGTTGATACGTTAGTATAATTTGGAGAAAATGCTCTTATATTGTTATAAATATCTAAGCAACTTTCTCTCTATCGAACTCACTTAGAATTATTTCTGAAATGTATACCCAGGATTATCCACGTTCAGTAGCTTATTCGCAAATGTTAAACATGATGGTTATATCGCGTGGCATAAGTATTTCCCAGTACTATGATTATCGTTATCCGGTCGCAGTTAATTTTGCCCGCATCGGTTCTGATATTTTGGAAGCACTGATTTCAGCGATTTCGATCTTCGTCGAGCAATACAAAGCGGAGCATGACATTGATTATTTGGATTTATTTCAAATGAACGAGAACTGCTTAAGCAGCGAAGATTTCGATAACGATATCGTCCGTGAATTGTCGGTGGATGCTTGGAGCAATTTCTATACTACTTTAAGTGCTGCCAGAGTTGCTGCCAAAGCTTTGAGTTCTTTCATAACAGCAATTGACAGCTCCAGTCCGATAATAGGGGCTTCCTACGATCAAGCCACCACTTATCAAAGTTTAAGATTAGTAGAGCGTTTGCGCTTGCCAGGCTTGCGATCGTATAACGAAAATGAACTTTTCACGTTAGCGTACATGCAGAAACATTGCAGTATACCCATAGCAGATAAAGATTATGCTAGAATTAAACCATATGTTGAACGAAAACTACCAGAATCTTATATGTAAGTGCTTGAAAGAGAATTAAAGCAAAAAAATTTTTTAATTGCTTTTTTTTTTTGCTAATTTACTTTATTCTTCTTTTCTTTTCTTTTTTTTTTTTATTTTAGTTTCAATGTTACATGGAAACATATACAGTTTTTACCGTTATCTTCCAGATGCTCAGTACCACGTACACGCTGCCCTCACTTCCTATAACCATATCATATGTGAATCCCTTTCATTAGATATTTTAAAAAAAGATTCATTCGCAAAAATCGCTCTGTTAGATCTGCTTTCTGTCCTTGGCACATCACTTTTTAAAAAAGTTTTTTATGTGAATTTTTTATTATAATATATGTTTCCATATTGTTAACTATTCCGTACTTTTTAAATATGTATTTTTTTTTTTTTTTTTTAGTTATTAGATGCTTTACTTTAAATAATTTATTTTGTAGTATTTAAATTACAAAGAACCGAAGAAGATATTTGTATAAGAGTAATAAAAGAAAAAGTTATTTCTGAACTTAGTAATAAATATGAATAATAACGAGATTATTAAATAAATAAAAAAAATAAAAAAATTTCTTTTTTAAATGGAAATGAAAATATTTTCGTAGTCAATTATTAATATTCTTCCGAAATTATGTTTTTTGTTTATGTGAGTAAACTTTAAATTTATTTTTTTTTTTTGAATATATTTTTTGGTCGTTGTACGATTAGTACAAATTTTTTTTTTTTTTAATTTCGACAATTGAAGCTCGCAGGTGATCAAGTTGAGGAAAGTGGCGGACTTCTTGTTTCTAGCCGGAAGTCTTTACGCAAACTACGTTACACATCTTACAGTCTTATTTCAATAAAAGCCTGTAAGCTGAGAAAACGTTCATAATGTAAACTACGATTCAATCGCGATCATTATCCTATTTGTTTCAACGTATTTCTCTATCAAATCCTTTTGGTGATGCCCATTAACCCTGCCTCTTTAATGCTTCAAATGTTTTAAATAGTAAAACATGATCGTTAATGTCTTTTTACAAAGAAATTTTTCGATTCAAAATCATAATTTATTATCATAATAAAATTAACATAAAATAAAAATTTACAGCAAAGAATTTTTTTTTTTTTTAACATTTCAGCCCTTTTTCTCTCTTTTAGTTCAGATACATTTCAATTTTTGTTAAGGTAAAAATAAATTAAAAATGTTTCTTTTTTTTTCTTTACATAACACTTTTTTTTGTAGAGGCGAGATTCAAGGGAATACTTAATCAATTTAAAAGAAGAAAAAAGCACATGCATATAAAACATTAATAACTACCATTATCGATTTGAAATAAACAAAGCTCTTTTATATTGAATTTAAAAAAAAAAACAAAATTTACTTTTACTAATTTATATAATATAATGAAATACAGTAGGAGACAATTAAACCTCTTTTTTCTTTTTTTTATATAATTGACTGCGTCTTATATTAATTATTACTGTTGCTGTTAGAGCGTGAATAAAATTCACATATCCTTCTCGGGCATTTTGTTGAATTTTAAATTGATTTGTACGCTATGTGAAAACATTTTTACGATGGCATACTTTTCATTACTAAAAACTTTTAAAAAGCTCGGTATATTTTTATTCAATAATTCAGAACAAAACTGTGGATATTTACGATAAGCCGGCTGCATATCATCCCAAATTGATAATAGATCACATTCGTCACTGTGAAAGAATTATTCAAAAATTATGCCATTCCTTCCTAATATAAAATATATTGTCAACTTTTCTTACTTAATTTCATTTGTGCAATCGTTAGTGGATAAAATTAAATACTGAATTTTTAATTGGGAACATTGATTATAAATGTCCGACGATTGTTGACGGCTAAAGACGCTATAAACATGCTCCGTGCGGTCACTGTTAACAAAGGAGAAAAGTTTCAAGCTGCTTGGAAACTGTTTTAACACTGTTAACTATTAGATGTGGCGGGTTAACAATATTGCACTACAATTAAATGTTATCACGTCGCTGATGATAACTAAAACTAGGTCTTTTTGTCAATCCGTAAAGCGAAAAGTAATAGGTTATTTTAAGTCAGTGTTCAATATTGATAGCAATTGTAAATCACTTAAAGAGAGTGAAATTTGCATTGAGTAGTCAATTTGAAACAAGTAAAACTTTATTTAGTGATCCCTACTTGCAATGTACAATCAATTTGAGTCACTTTTGGATTCTTATAGTAAAACATAGCGTAGCGGCTCAAGGTGATTGATTAAGAAAAAAAACTCTTATCAAATATTTCAATAAGAATTCACCAGACTTTCCCGCTTCGGCTTTACATTCGTTAGACATCACTCTTCCTCATCCCACGAAACTATCTGTTAGGATAAATAGGGAAATGTCCCAAGAACGAATGAATGTTATTCTGAACTAATCGTTCACATGTTAAACTTAAAATTTCTGCGATATTTAGAATTTTAGCATTCATACATATTTATATATGTACATTAACGTAACAAACATTATTAACCGCCACACGTAATATATATATACAATTCTACCTCATCTGTCTAATTTCTAAATGAGCATGGTTTACAATTGGCCTTCGCGTAGTTAAATGTACGGTACCAATTATATCAACAGGACCTAAAATGATTTAGATATATTTAATATTTATTTCTTACGTAAGCAAAAGCATTTACCGGCAAAAACGGCATCCTTTTCGGTATTCATTTTTATCCATTCTAACATTGAATCCAATTGCAAATTTTGATTAGCCACATTTTTGTTAGGATAATACTCGTCTTGTATATTCTATACAAAATAAACCAACATTTATAAATTATTCTCACCAAAGTTACTTTTCTAAATATTAGTTTTAAAGTATATGCCTTACAAGAGCAACGAGTTGCAACCTGGGAAGTAATCATCCTTGGAGTGACGTGAATTATTGTCAAGAGAAGTGTCAACAATAAAATTTTTGTTTTGTTATTTACGAATAAGCTTAATTTTAAAATGATAGGTTGCGGAGCAAGAAAGACTCGCATTAACTTTTGATCACAAGTTTGCTTCTACATAAAATACTCTTATCTTCATGCTCATCCTTTTTCTGCCAAAAAAGCAGAATTCATGTCATTATTACAGATTTAAAGATTAAGAAACTTATATATACATACATACATACATTCTTTCTGCTTAAAGAGTCATAATAGAATAGAAGTTAAAATCGTTTATCTTTGACTCATTCTGTAACGAAGCGTTTATTCACTTTTTTGGAGTCTTTCACACGTTTAACTAGTTAAGTCTGTTCGTTCGACGTCGGAACCTAAACTTGCAAAAATTGAAATAGGAAATTGAAACTCTATAGTTTACCAATGGAATCTTAAGTTAGGCGAGATCTGTCCACAACAACCCTAATCTATAAGTATTGGTCTTAAGACATGATATCGATGCAAATTCTCTAGTAAATAATAAAAATGCGACCCAGCAAATTGCAAGCGCACAATAAATTAAAAAGCTTCGCAATTATAGAGACCGTGCCAAAGGAGAATATTAATTTCCTACTATTTTTCAAATTAATCAAAATGGTTTCTTACCACTATCCCGGGATGGATAACGCTGGCCAAAAACACATACAGATAAGCTGACCAAAACAAGTTACGCTGTTTACCGCTCAATAATAAGGAACATATGGTCGAGGTGAGAACACAACCTTGCGTAAAACATAGGAAAAATAGTTTTCTAATACTAAGGCCAATAACTGTAAATACAGCCATTTGTAGAAAACTGTACACGTAATGAAATTGACGATAGTCGTAAACGCCCTCGTCATCACTATCATTAGCACGTGTTTCCTGAGAAGAAGCGGATGTTAGCTTGGTAGCAGCTTTTTTACTCGTTCCTGTAGATGAGATTTTTTTACCATTTTCATTAGCAGCTTTTTCCTTTCTTTCGCTCTGTTCTACCATTTCCTCAGTCGATTCCCTGTGAATCTCATCTCGTCCCTTTTCCTCTGATGACTTTTTATGATTTTCTTGAATTTGTTCTTTTAGCTTTTTAATATCATTTAGAAACTGTAAATGATCATTTGGTTTCTCTTTTTTTAATTTTGCCTTTTCTTTTTTATAAAGCTCGTAGTCATAGCCACATTTGGCTAAAAGATCTAAAAATTCTAGTATTATGTGTTCATTTTTCTTGTTAAGTATATCCGTCATACTAATATGATGTTCCTCTAGAAAATCTTCTAGAATATAGTTTTTAGCACGTTCTATGACATCCGCTTTGGGCTCTTCAGGTGGTTCAGTGGATTTACGCCATTTACGAAAAAACTTGGCCAACATAACTACACCATACATACAATAGGGTTTCACTACAAGCGTTTTAACGAAGTCCCACAATTGAAAGCAATCCATGCGCTTGTACTCAGGTTTGCATGCCGTAAGAGTGGTAACGAAATTTACTTTCATTTGCAGTAACCAATGTATTACCAAATCACGGTACAATATATATGTATTTTCTATGGACCTCACAAAACCGGTCGCTTCAAAGATATCAATTATAGTGCAAAAGGAAAATATTGATATTAAAAATCCCATGGGCAAAATTTTCAATGAGAAACCAATATTGTTCTCATCGGGCAACGGGGGCGATGATTGTTGCTTTGAAAATCTTATCATTGATATAAAAAACAAACCGATGGCTGGTCCCAACTGCCAGGCAAAAATATATCTTTTGTTACCATCCGACACAGAGTAGGCCAACCAAATGGCCATTAAATGAGTTGCAGCGTATTCATTAATGAAAACATTTACTAGTCTGGTTTGTGTCGTTGAATTCAAAATCCATGGTACCATCATTATGAGTATTTGACTGGCAAATATAACTGTAGAGAATTGCCAGCATAATAAGGCCAGAGCCGTAAGGAAAGACATTTCTACCATCTGTTTTAATGATAAGAACATTAAGTGCATTAAAAAAATATTAAGAACGACTTGTAAACTCACGGTTAATATGGACAGAGAATGTGCTTTACGTTCGTATAACTGATTTATGCAGAAGCATAAATAAAACATTTGCATAAAGATAGCTGGAAAAGCAAAATTTTCACGTGCTGCAGGGCTTTCATATATCTTTGAAGCAAAGCTGTGAAACATAATGTACGATGTTACTGCATAAATACCACCGAACATGTTACGACTGAGCAGTAATCCGTACATGTATATTAAGAGCATGGTAAACCCACCCAACAGCCATACACACTCCGTATAAAATTGCATTGCTTGACCTTCGCAATTACCATATTCTAACGTCAATCGTATATCATCCGAACGCCAACAGCTAAACAAAGATAAAAGTCCCAAACGTTGATGCGAACGCAAGAAATGATACAAAGCTCTAAAATCATATTACACGTTTGTTTTCATTATATAAAAAAATTTTCCAATAATACCCAATAATAAGCTCCGGCAATACGTGAAATCTGTGAATAACATTCACGTTGCGAGGGTACTCAATATCAGTTAAATTTTGCAATCTTTCAATGCCGCTCATGAAATCCGGTGCCTCTGTCAAAGTTTTATAAAAGCTATAATATAGGGCATCTTCTCCTCGAAATAAAGATTCACGTTCCAATTGGGTCAAATGAGCTATATTCGTTCGTGTCTCAAAAACAGACCGTACATGCTGAATATATAGAAAAAAAAATCCCGTACCTAAAGAAAACAAAAATGAAGAATAATTGAAAACAAAGCAAAACATCAAAGACGACCGAACTAAGTTGATTTTACCTATCAACGACTGTCCTAGCATTAGAAGCAACTTCTGTTGGTGCATGTTCCTTATAATATTATTCAACTTTGGTCGATACTAATAAATTTCTATTTAATTTATTGTTAACTTTACACTACAAATTTTGCAAAAAAAAAAAAAAATTCTCCACTTTTCCGGTTTCACTGCTTAAATCCATATGATGGATTGAATGACATTATATTGCAAACTAGAGTTGTCAGGCGTATTGAATGTTTTTATAAAAGGAAAAGCTATGTTTAAAGGGTAGCTAATGTTTTGTTCTACGAACGTGAAAGCGCTTCATAGGCCTAAACACAATTATCTATTATTCTGTTTTTCGGGTTAAGAAGTCCCAAGTGAGAATCCACGTTATCGTATTATTTTGCAAGAAAAAATATAGAAATCAATGCTAATATAAATAAAAAAATGTGATATGAGAAGTAAAACTAAAGAAATCAACAAAAAATAAATGAAAAACAACGATAGAGAAATTAATATACAGACAAATTAAATATTTAATTGATTAACGAAATAAAGAATGAGCAAAAATAATATTAAATAGAGCTGCACTTCACTGGCGCAGTAAAAAACACTAAAAGAATTTTATTGATCGTTTTTATTCTTTATAAAAAAGTATGGAGCATGAACTAAAATTTTAAATCGCATAACAATAATTTACAGTAGTACAAAATAACATTAGTTAGATCAATAATTTCACAACTTAAAATAAATTGTCTTTGTTTCTTTTTATACGTGTGTTATGTGAAAGCCATATGATTTCCCAGTTCTCACAACGTATTGCAAAAATTCGGCAAAGCTGGAGTCCCATCCCGAATATAGCAATAACGCATCATTGTGTTTTAAAACGCATTTACAAATTAGTCCCTCGCGTAGCATTTTCTTTTAAGAAAAGTAAATTTTTTACTCGTAATTATTATTTTATTATGAACTATTTTATTATTATTATTTATTTACCTTTACAGATGTACTAAAAGGGCCAAGTGGTCACCTGTGTGCCCTACTTTAAATGCAAATTCTATTCTGCTTATTAGCAACATTCTGCGCGTTAGCGCGGCAACCAGACTTATAATACTAGAGTGGATATGATCTTATGCAGTGTTGTCAAATAATGCTTGAAAAACATCTAGTCAACTAAATTCACGTAAATGACATGCCACCCAGATTTAATACAATAATTTGCTTATACATATATCTCTGTGATCTTCAAATTGACATAATAATAACAGGTAAAAAATGCTGTCTATCTAAGATCAAAAATCTTACCGTCCCTAGTTTACACAATGTATTTCGTAAAAAGACTGCGTTTCATCAGCTCTTCATATTTGTAATTTAACGCTATAATATTGCACAAAAAAGTAACATAACACCAAAATTCAATGGTTTCAGCACAAAGTATTTGATTAAACTTATTACGCCATTTATATAGCTGATGATTTTGATAATTTTGCCAAATTACTTCGCTTGAAGTCAAACGTTCTTATAATTCTTTGTTCAAACATTAATATACTAATTTACATATAAATTAAAGATTAACAAAAACATATAAGTACGAAAAAGAGCGGAAGTAGGATAAAGACAAGGAAATAAACATGTTTATTTCAATGTTGACATATTAAAATTGCGAGTCTATCGTAATCAGCTTTGAAAATTTTTTATAAGAGCAATAAGTGAACTTTTGCCTTTTCAGCTGAAGCAATGTTAACGGCCGTAATTGCAGACTTCGCAGTCAGCATAAACTCCGAATAAGGAGTAAATTCATAATTAACCAAATTTTAGTAATTGCGAGTGACACAGACAGACAGACAGACATGACTAAATCAATTTCACTAACCCGTATTGACAACAATACACGACCATGGCTCGCCATGAACTTACCCATATCTTACACCTCCAAATATAATGTGTATCCGCTAAAATCAAGAAAACCGTTTATTATCATGTATGAAGCCAGTAAATCTTATCAAGGATCGATATGAAAACTCATTATCATATCGCATTATAAACAATATAATAGACATTAAATTTGAACTTGCTCAAGTTGCTTTTACATCCTACACACACTACTTATTATATTTGTCAAATATTTTTAATGTACAGAAATTAATAGCTGACAAACTGTAAATTGCATATGTAAGTTTTTACACCCCAGTATAAACCCCATAGTGGCTTACGGTAGATTTATTATAGCAATCGCTTAAGACCCGAATGATTCTAAGCTTGCGAGGTCGCAATCTTTGAAATATTTTGCTGAAATTTAGTCCATTTAGCTTCCACCGTGCGTTATAAACTTTTTTAGGCAGCATTTGCTCCGTTATTAGGAGCACGTCCGTCTGTACAATTGTCAATCCATAGTCTCATTGTTGTCAGTCATCCGTAGTCCTAAAATATATAACTTCTTAAGATAATTTGCTTATCTCTCCGATTTGTTTGCCCACTGCTTTATGATTTCATATGAAAGCTTTGGTATTTCTTTGTCGACCATTACCTGGGTTTATGACAAATGCACATTTTCTAATTGATTTTCCGTAGAAGTGCATTGTTTGTTGTGTGCTTCATGGACACCTTTTCTTTGATCATACATATTAAGTCATTGATTTTGATGCTGTACCGTATAAGCAAGCATCTTATCTCTCAAGAAAACATTACACATTTAAGATAGGACGTTTTACTAGCAACATTTGCGCAGTAAAATTATTGATTAATACCCCAAGTCATATGATATAAAGGAACGATATTAAAGATCCTAAGAGAGAGGGGGTAGGAAACTGAAATGCGTAAGATTCCACACAATCAACATCTGTGTACGATAGTGCGCGCATTCAATAGACCCGTGCGTGAGTGTATTGCATCAAGACAGAAATATTCATGTCAAGTGGATTGTGCGTGCGTTTGTTTAAACAGTTATAAGTAGAGGCGCGTAAGTGATAGAATTTTAAACTTTTCGTTTTTCTCTGCTTGCTTGCTTTATTTTTCGCAAATCAATACTATTTTTATATATACCTATCTATTTATTGCCAAAAAGATGTTTTTTATAATTATTCGATCTAATTTTAACTTTACATATTTTTCCTATTCTTAATAGAAGCAAAATATTACTACGATTATTTCCAATTTGTACATTTTTATCAATATTCAACTTTGCCAAAATTAAAGTTATAACTATTTCTCTTAGTCTCTGCTACACGGCCTTTTCCTATTTATTGGGCAATTGTGCGCAATCTTCCAGATTACCCTTAAAGTATTACACTAGGCACGCTAGAAATTATTCTAAATAGCTGCTTCCCAGAAAATAGTTTAGTTTTATGTACCGTTTCTATGTCACTACACACACACATTAAAATTAAAATTAATTAAATTGATGTTAGATTATTCATAAGACACAACTACTTCTAAAAGATAACTAGTATGAAAAAAACGAATACAATAACTAATAGAGTAAAATACATAAGGAACAATATATTGATAATGATAAAAAAACTATAAAAGCAAGGGTATATTAATACAAATATATTGTTATGTCAAATTGTTTGCATTAATTTTCTCCATTTTTTGTCCTTTGCTGACTCCGTCGTCGGCTACCAAACTGTCGGACAAAAAGTATACATTCTTCAAAAACAACACTTTAATTAAGCTATTTAAAAAATTAAGGCAATGTTTTTTACAGTCGTCGTTTGTCACAAACCAGCGAAGTCCGTTTCCGTTCTCTACAAATGTATCAGTCAAATAAATTTCTAAGCCAAGTTATTTGAGCCTGACATCTTTAGTATAGCGAAGATGTACAGTACTCGCTTCTGAGTACTCCTTACTTTTAATAAACGACTCGGGCAAATCCGTTAAGGTCCCGTTCTCCTTCTTCATCAATTTTGAACACTTCTCACATTTAGACTTCCTCACTCTTTTTTATTGTTATTACAAAGATAATCATTTGTTTTTACATTATTCTTCCGCAAAGCAAACTACACTTTTACGCCTATAAATATCGGAAATATCGCAGTTTATGGTTTACAAAGTGATGAAATTCAGCATTTGAACACCTTTTATTAAACAAAAATGAAAAAACTGGGTATACCATACTGATGAAACATTGGCTAATCACGCTGACACTATCGAAAACCGTTATTTGCATTTGCAAATTAAACCCAAAATTCGGAAATTATTTTTAAAGTAATGCAAAATAATAATAAAACTTAAAAACTGACTTCCAAATTTGAAATAAATCGACTTTATTTTGCCTCCTACCTTGCTTATTTTTACTTTTATGTCTTCTTCTTCTTCATTTGAAATTCAGCAATTCAACAATAGAAGATTCGCTGTGTTGTGCACAAACGGTTTGATGTGAGAACAAAGTACTTTGTTGGAACTTTAATAAAGTTATTTTCAATTAATTAAATTATCCTTATTTGCTTATACGCTGAAGTTGGTTGTATTTTCCAATAAAACCATACAACTTGTTCGATAACAACCCCGAGAATGCCTAATAAAGAGTTAAGCAACTTTTCATGCTTAAATGCTTAAAAATTTCTATGTGTGCATATTCATTGTTTTCAATGTGTTCAACTTCAATTTCAATGCTTGTCATGCGAGTGCGGTTTCTTTGTGTTTTTGACCTTAGCTCTGTTTATTTTGTTGTGCTAAAAGCGAAAAAATGGTAAATTTTATAATATCTTAGAATTCATAAAAAAACTAACGATGAATGAAAATTAAAATTTTATTACATAGAATTTTTTTTCAACGATTCGACAGTATCTGGTTTTTATTGTTTGCTATTTGCTGAGGGTGTCGGTGGAGGCATATGATAAGGAAATGACGGTGCACATTGACGCGGGCAAAAAAGAATGCTTCTATCATCATGTAAACAAAGGTGAAACTATCGACATCGAATACCAGGTGATCGATGGCGGTAATGGTGATTTGGATATTAGTTTTTCCCTTAACGATCCCATAGGCTTGATAATTGTGGGTGATTTTAAAAAATCTGAAAATATACATCGTCATGAAGTGCAGCTCGACGGTGATTACCGATTTTGTTTTGATAATACTTTTAGTGCGTTTAACAGGAAAACAGTTTTTTTCGAATTAATTGTGGAAAGAGAGGGTGAACAGAACTTAGGTGATAATCAATGGAATGATATGCTCGAAGGCTTAACACCCGAGGAATATTACGAAATGAAAGTGCAAGATATCATGGATTATATAGGCCGTATACGAATGCAGATGACTAAAGCTCGACAGATACAAGATATTCTGCGTTCTCACGAAGCACGTGATCGCAACCTAGCAGAAGCAAACTTTATGAAAGTGAATGTTAGGTCATTCATCCAAATTTGTGCCATGATAGCAGTGGGTCTTCTCCAAGTCTTCCTAGTACGTAGCATATTTGACAATAATGGTCGTATGAACAAAATTTGGCAAAAGGTGCGTTTGTGAAGCAAAATAATCAATAATTTCTCGCATATAGATAAAACGCTAGGGAAGCTCTCTAAAGAAGCCTTAATGAATCTTTCTAAAAATGACACCAAAGAAAATTTAAAAATTTTGATCACAGAAACCATGTTCAGGGATAAATTGTAATGAAAGCAATGCTAATATTTTAACTTGAATCATTCCTTGCCATACATATTTTTAACTAAATCTATCTTTTATTAAACGTTTATATGCTACTCATCAGATTATTGCAATGCACATCCATTTACGTTTGGTTAAATCTTTGTAAAAATCTTTTGTTTGTGTAAAACCAATTTCAGTATATTTTTTATTAGTTTAATAAACGTATATAACGTTTAAATTTATGAAACTTTCTTTTTGACAATACGCTGTTCGCGGAGCATTTGGTACGAGATACCAGGGTCTTTGTGTGAACTGCGTGGAAATCGTTTGACTTTCGGTGTTTTTTGTTTGCCTACGGCTACGCTTACTGGGAGCATATTTCGCTTTTGGAAACTTTTGAACCGATCTATAAGAAGACTACTTTCCTGCTTTATATTACACATGCTGCCGGCCAAGTCCTCTGGCATATTAACATCTTCGTCTTGCTCAATAAATTTTAAACGGCCCAAACGTTTCGTTTCGTATTTCTTTTTCAAAGCCGTCTTTTTACGTTTCTTTTTCAAGGCGTTCAAGCTTTCTTCTTCTTCTGAGATTTCCTTTTTTAGAGATTTGATACGGTTGATATCAACAGTTTGTTTTTTTTTCATTTTCTTCTCCAAAGTTTTCTTTTCGAGCTCTTTTTGTTTAAGTTCTTTGCTGCGTGCTTGTTTCGATTTCTTTTTGTTTTCTACTGGTGGATTACTCGTCTGATATGTAGAATCCTCATTGCTTTGAAAATTCTTGATATCATCGTCTGTATCTTCATTATCATCATCTTCAAAACCTGAACGCATTTCTCTCATATAAAAAGCTTCCTTTTCTTCGGGAGTAACTTTCTTAAACATACGCGTAGTAACGCGTTCCAAATGTTTTTCTCCCTTAATAATGTTTTCTTCCTTTTCCACGACCTTTAAAATTAATTTTTGATGATCTTCTAACGAGGGATTGTAACTTATGCCTGGATGAGGTGGTTCAAAATTTCTAAGAAAATAAAAAAATAATATAATAATATACAACATTTGTCATTGTTTGCGAACGAGTTCTTACTTTGCTTTCGTAGTACGATGGCGTATGCTATCGTGGACTTTAATAATTGGTTTGCCTATGTTCTTTGCTATATATAGACTTAAATCTCTGCTGATCCAACCCTTTTCGTCTTTAAGGCCAGGAATATTGTCACGAAAATCCGCATCGGTCCAAATGTCTTTATTGATATCCGGTATTCCGCTGGCCTTTTTCTTAAGTCGTTCTTCCACCTTTTCATAATATTTCGCCCGATCTTGGTTGGCTTTAAAATGTCTCGATCTAATAGGATTGCAGACTTCTTTCTCTATATCCCGCCCGCACTTTTTTTGCTTCACTGTATTTCTGCGAAAGAATAATAAAGAATAACTATTAAGTATATATTTCTCATTACAAAAAGTTCACCTTTTTACAATCGGATCTTCAACTTTTGAGTAATTCTCTAAACCTTTCCAAGATTTCATAGGCTTTATAGCATTTAATTTGCGCTTTTGCTTCTCAGTGTTAAGTTTCCTTTTAGATTCTGTGGCTATAACATCTATGTGGAAAATATCTTCATTTTGTTTTTCAGAAAATGTTCTAAAATTTAAATCAAGTAAAAATTCATCCTTAGAAAATACGACGTCTGATATTTTGCTTCACTCACCCGATTCGCTCGTCGCGCAATTTATCCTCTAAAAAATCCTCAACATCCTTTATATCAGTTTTACGCCAGGCTGATTTATTTTTCTTGGACACACGTTTTCGTTTTGGCAAAGACATGCTGATAGATTTTTAATTAATTACAAGTTCTATAGCAAAAAATCGCACGTGTTTTATTTCTCAACAGATACGTGATTGCCAGAAGTATATTTTAAAGAAATTCCCGGATATTCATTTAATTTTTTAGTAGGTAATGTAAGAGTTTACTAATATAATTTTTTCCAAAAAAACAGAGAAATTTCATTTAAAGGACAACGTGCACGACTGTGACACAGCCGTTGGGATTGTTGGGATAATAATTAATATATTGTTGTTAGTGGTTTAGTGGTGTGTAGGCATTTGTATGGAATTTTGTTTAAAAAAGGAGGTCTCTATTGGCCGCGTTTTTATAAAGCTGAAAATAAAACAAATAAAAGTTTTCTCAAATCATCGAAAGATAAATAAATTTGGATCTCATTGACGGTCCTCAACAGTTCATTGTCATTTGCAGTGTTTTTAATGAAGAAGCAAACGTGGCAAACTTAGAAATCAACTATATTAATAAGGCGTAACAGAAATCAACTTTATTGTTAATGAGTTTGACTAGAAACGCTGCGCGGACTGTCGTTAAAGTATGTAAAGATGCAGTGTCAACAACATTTGATAAGTTTCATCTTCTATTTAATACTTTTGCCTACATTCGTTGTGTGTTTGCTCGATGGTTTGTATTGCGGTAAACAAAATTGTTACGATGTTTTGGGAGTAACAAGAGATTCATCGAAAAATGAAATTGGCAAAGCTTATCGCACACTGGCGCGTAAATATCATCCGGATCTTCATCGTACGATAGACACTAAAGCCGAGGCTGAAGTACAATTTAAACATATTGCCACTGCTTATGAGATATTAAAAGATGATGATTCACGTAACAATTATGATTATATGCTAGACCATCCTGACGAATATTATGCTCATTACTATCGCTATTACCGGCGGCGTGTGGCCCCAAAAGTGGATGTACGCATAGTAATTGTAGTTATCCTGACTGTGATTTCTATTGTACAATATTATTCCGGCTGGCAGCGCTACGACTCAGCAATAAAATATTTTGCCACTGTACCTAAATATCGAAATAAAGCGTTGAAAATAGCTAGGGATGAAATCAATGAGAAAATCAACAATCGCAAAGGCAAGCAACGCCTAAATAAAATCGAACAAAAGGAAGAGTTGGAGCGCATAGTACGTAAAGTTATTGAAGAAAAAATGGATGTGAAGGGTGCCAAACCATCATTATGGGATATTTTGTTGGTACAGTTGATTATCTTCCCATATACTTTAACGCGGTGGCTATTATGGCAGTTAAACTGGCTATGGCGCTTTACAATATGCAGAAGACCATACGGTCAAGAAGAAAAATTATATTTAATACGCCGTTTAATGAAAATGAGTCAAAATCAGTTCAATACTTTGGAAGATAGTCAAATTGAGGAGTACTTGGAGTTGTGGAAACAGAATGAAGAAGAATGGAAACAAAATAAGAAGCAGAAATAAAGAAGACATGAAATGTAAGCTCCCCGTAAATCTCGTATATATTCTATAGATATTTTATAAAAGATCATGTAACAGGTCGTACTGCATTTGGAAATTAACAAAAACTTTCGCAAATGTATTTGTTTTGAAATTTAGCCACAATTTTACGTTCGCTTGCAGTTGTATATTCGTTCCGTCTCTGCTTTAGATTTTAAGTTCCTAACATCACACAAATAAATCGAAGTTTGCTTAGTTCTACACAGCAAGCCTTTACACAAATACAAGTGCTCGCAATGCATATTTTGATTATTATATATTTAAAGCGTATCGTAAGCTTTCGAAGGTGTTTTGTAAACAATTAATCTGCAAAATTAATGAAAATAGTTGATAAAAGTGGTAATGGTTTCCCTTTTTTTCTTTGTTTATTGATTTTGCTCCGCTTAAAATCAATTTTTACAATTTCCTTTAATTTACCAATAACATTTGTAAGTCCTTTCTTAGTTTAAAACTTATCTAACATTTACGGTGAATTCATTTTCATCATTATGTTCACCCATCAATACGTGAATTTCCGTACCGTCTTCCTCTTCATCCATTTCTTCGCCCTCTTCGATGTATTCGGTTGTTAAAATGCACTCTTCCAAAGCTACCGATTTCATGTTCATCATTTCGGCATTGTCGACTTCATTAGCTCGAGCATGATGTTGCATGTGGCTTAGGAGATAGGCTTTCTTCGTAAAACCCTTATCACACTGATCACAACGAAATTTCTTTTCGCCAGTGTGAGTACGATAGTGTACCGACAAAACATGAGCATAAGCAAAACTTTTACCGCATGTGTTACAGCTGTATGGGCGTTCACCAGTGTGTGTCCGTTCGTGCTTGATTCGAGAACCAAAATCGGAGAAACGGCGGTCACAATATTGACAGGCATATGGCTTATGGCCAGTATGTACACGAATGTGGCGTCTTAACTCAACATGAGATATAAAAGCTTTATCGCAAAATTCGCAGGGGAATGGCTTGTCATTATTGTGGCGTCTCATGTGAGCATTTAAAGCGTGCTGGTAACGATATTTGTTACCGCAAATTTCACATATTTTTGCCGGCTGGGAATCCGGAGGCGATACTTTACGTTTACGCGTACGTACATGACGTGTTGTCATCGCCGGCGGTTTGATATTGTCTTCACTTTGATTTGCACTATCGTCATCACCTGGGTGTGATGGATTTAAGTTACTCTCGTTAGCGTTAACGTAATATTTTCGGGGGCGTCCTCTAGTACGGCGTGCGGGTGTTGGTTGTTTTTCAATTTCGGGAATATCAGTAACCAGTACATCACTATTATCTTCCAAATATTTATTAAATTTGCTACTACTGCTTCCTGCAGATGGGCTTTCCGCTTTGAATGAATGTGCGGCATTGGTTTTAAAGTTTTCCTCTTGGATTTCCACAATGGTGTCAGCGCCAGCTTCCTCATCTATAATTTCTTCGGACATATAATATTCTACATACTCTTCAGTCTGATAAGGGCCGGTGTCTGCTGAGCTAATATGATCGTCATCTTCGCTTTCCAATTTGATAGTTTCCGTGTGGAAGGCAAACTTCTTTTCCCGTTCCAGCTCGTTACTTTTTGTAGGGTCGTCTTCATTTATTTCGGCTTCAAGAGAGGTGGTAGCCGTACAGAAATTTTTGGACTCTGTTTCTACACATTTTATTTTTAGTCCTTCCGGAACTTTAATTTTCTCTGTAGTAAATTGTTTGCTACTTAAGATCTCTGTATCATCTTGATCTCGCAGTATTGTGCGGAATATTGTTAAGGCTGTTTCACAGTTCTGACGGAAGCGCCAAGCAATCTGAAGATCTTCCAAGCATGACTCACAAATTTTATTAGGCAACCGTTTGTTGTTCGGATCCAGTTTCATATTCGAACAACGTCCAATTTTAAATGATACTTGCAATTCAGGATTTTTTTCATCTGGTGCAAATATATCGTGCAGCGACTTTTCCGGTTGCAGGCATATTAAGCACACCGCCTTCAAATCTATGACAACCGACATTTCTAACGCAGCAATCGTAATTCGAATTAAATAATTTTATTTACTGTCTTACGAAAAATTTGAGTATTCCACTTAACTAACAACAAAACTCCACGGCAGTTCTTTAATTTATTAATTCGTGGTTGTCATTGAAAAAGGCATCGGCAGAGTTGCCACACTAACATTAAAATGTGCTATGGCAGCGCTAAAACACTTGCGATTGGAAATGACGGAAAAAACACAATTTCTTAAAAATCCAAGTGAAATAAAAAAAATTGAAAGCTGTAAGAAAAAAAAAAAGAAATGAACAGAAGCATTTAAAAATTCTACCCATAAACAACTTCAATAATTGAGCAGAAAAAAAAAAAGTCAACGATTTCCTTGAAAATGCAGAATCCTGTCAATCAACTAATTCAAAATATTTTAGAACAATTTGTAAAGCCTTCAGAGGATTTTGGCGTTATAAGAAGCGTTTCGACCTTCATAAAAGTCCACAGCGAGAAGTTAACTCTCCTAGGTGAAGTAAGCTTTCCGTCCAAACCGGAAATTTGGTTTAATCACTTCAACGATTGTAGGCAGAAACTAAACGAAAATATATTTCATATGTTAAAGCCTAACAATTTTGAAAGCGACGAACAAAAATTACATTTCCTTCAAGTTGCTGCTACATGGGATTTACCAGTGGAAAGATTAATTGTCAATCCGGAACGTTGTCATGTATATTTGAAACGCACAGACATAATAAAACGAACTATTAGCCATATACTTACTGATAAAAACTATGGTCAGTTAAAGAAATTGGAAAAACGTTACGTGTACATAGAACCGTTAGAGGAAGACACAAGAGTGCTACAAGATTTGTCATCGTATCGCATTAAATTGTTGTATAACGCTTTGCAAAATGTCCTATGCTATTCCAGTTGGACCAAAGTAAATGACTTGAGCTTTAAACAATGCTTACATTTGAAAGTGGAAAGTGTAAGAGCAAAGGACGTACAAGGTTTACAAGGAACCGCAGTTGTAGCAAAATGCGGTCTTGTCGTTGATCCTTTAAGTAACGGAGGCTTGTGCAAAATGCCTGCCACGGAATATTTGAAGTAATTTATATTATAGAATGTTTTTGCAAGTACTAGATTTTGAGTTTTTTTAGTCTACGCTCGAACGATATGTATTTAATGGCACAGCATAAGTATGGCGTACGTGTCAAACAGGACGTACGTTTTTGTGCTTTAATGAAACGCTTAGGCTCCGCTGCTGTTTCTGTCGACCTACTAGAAGTTAAACATAGCAGCCCGGTCAAAATAATTCGATGTGGTCAAAGCAGATCTAAAGGCGCCTCATTCATATTTTACAACTCCGCTAGACTGGAGTCACTTTTACGTTCATTTGACGAACGTGTAACCAATGGAGATTACGAATCTTTGCCACCGTTGAACTCCGTCAATTGGGAGCTGCTAAATGAAGAGGTAGGTGTAGCTACCACTAGTATATTAAGGCATCATCCACAACAAAACGCAATCCGTGGGAGCGAATCCGCGCTCTTTTAGAAAAAAATTTGCTTCAAATAAGTTTGCTATGAATTCGTTACAAACGCATAATACCCCTTAATCGATTTACTATTTAAAGATTTAATATAGTTTTCATTTATGCATGCATCGGGCTTTGTTGTTATCTACGGGTAACACTGGTTTTCTATTTCAAGTCCAACGTGATGCTCTATCCGTTGGTGTATATTTTGTCGTCAATTTATTTTTTATCATTCAATAATTTTTCTATATTCAGAAAGAATGGGAGTTGGTTTTCGTTTATTTGATCGGGTTTCCCGATTTAGTCGAACGCTGTTTAGATCAGTTAGAACGTGGATTGTGCGCAATTCATCTCATTACACGATTTTTGCATAAGATGGTAGGCGTTTTTAGCATTTACTATCGTAAAACTCGTATATTAACGGTAAGTACTGAACTTTTTTTTTCTTTTATTGAATGGCTAAATATCATAAATTGATTTTTTTTTTCAATTACTTAGGAAAAACGTGATCACTTAATGCCAACTCTTTATGCTCACATCTACCTCATTAAGGCTATCAGGGAAGTACTCAATAAGACTTTGCTCCTCTTGGATATAGAACCGGCTGAATTTATGTAACTTTTGTCAGTTTATTTTTTAAAATTGGATGCTTTTATTTATTCTTGTCTCTTACATATCACATTAAATTTACTTTAAATTGCTAATAAAACATTTCCGTTAACTATAAATAATGTTTTGTAAGTATGTGAAGATAATTGTTAGTATTGTAGTTTTAACATACGAAATGAAATGCAATGGATTTTCTAAAATTTCTTACAAATATATATATACAAATATATATATATGTAGGTATATATATACATATATGCGATACATTTTTTTTTATTTCTATTTACTTTTTATTAGTAAAAACAAAAAAAACTAAAATTTTTCTAAAATGAAAATATCTCTTTGGAAAGCTTTTTATATGGAACTTAATTTTTAATTTTGTTAATAACTATCTCATTGGCGATTGTTGTTCTTTTTTGTTATTGTAATCAGCCATAAATGCAATATTTTCAGGATTATTGAAAAATAGTTCCTCTATTAATGGAGTGCTTCCTAACGAGTTAGCTTTCGTACCTAAGCACATATTGTATTGTGGCGGTTCTAGGCGTAGGTCGCAATTAATATCATGATATATATGAACTAAAGTAGGATCAGGTGCACGAAATATATTTAATCGGCGCATTTTGGAAGCTTGTTCATTATAATCGGGTGCAACTTCGGCAGTGTTAATCATAAATGCATTTTGACGATGACCAACTTTTACAAGTTTCTCCAAAAATTTAACATCTTCTAAACCCCAACCAGTTATATCTTTGTCAAAACCGTTTATATCTTTATCCATAATATCTGATTTAAAAATTGAGCAAATGCCAAAACCATATTGTCTAAAATAACCAGTTTCGTTATTTATTTCAAGGTCGTCTGGAGAAACGACCTTAGAATCTACAGTTTTTGTACGCCTTCGGGGATCATATTGACTAAAAACAATAGGCAAATACACTTGCTGACCTTGCATAGTATTCATACGTATTCGTTGTAAACTTTCATGCGTGAAAGTCATATCCACATCTATAAACAGAATAATATCATCATTTTGAATATAAGAAGAACGCGTAGCAGTATCTAAGGCTACCCCGCGCGAGAACTCTTCCTGTAATTGTATATAATTGATTTTTTGGTGTATATGACGTTCTTTTAAGTTTTTTATTAAATCTAAATGGATCTTGATTTGAAAAAATTCACCAAATATCACGACTAAAAGATCGCAGTTCTTATCTTGCTCTATAGCCACTTGTTCATAAGTCTGTAGGAAACGCTTAAATGTCGCTATTCTGGCAGCCAAGGGTAAAACAAAAACAATCTTTGAATTAATTGAACTACCTTGCAAACCTGATGTACCACCTCCACCCATAAGAACAGGCAAAGATAGATGACTTGTTAGTTTTTCCATACCCGTATCTAAAATATTTTGAAATAGACCTAAAGAGCGGAAAAAGAAGAAAATTATAAAAAAAATGTATCAATTTTCAAAAACTTTCCAAACATACTTTTCTGCAAAGTCACGTTATAGAAGTCCTCATCAAATTCTTTAACGAATATTCCAGTAAAAGCCCGTTGCACATATAAGTGTCTTCGTACTGGTACAGTCATCTTCTTACCTCGATATTTTTTATAAATTAATAACAAGTCTAAGATTAAATCCTGACCATGTAGTGCATTTAATCTGGTATAACCATATAATAATTCACGAAATTCAATGACTCTTCCTCGTTGCCTTGAATAGTTGTTTATGTTTTCCATGACTTCGGTTATAACATCTTCAAGACCTTCACGTATAGCTGAATCAATTTTATGCTTAGGATTGGCATGATCGGTTGAATATAGACTGCGTGCTACAAATGACCACTCTAAGAGATCATCGCGACTTTTCGGTACAAATTTATTCAAATCAGGATTTGTACCTGCAAAAAGCATATTAAATAAGTGAAGATATTAGTTTGGGGAAAAAGAAATCCATTATTTTTTCGGTAGATGGCTGCACTGATAGATTTCTGGTAAAGTATCGATCAAACAATTTCAGATTTATGCTCGTTGGAAAGGTGACATTTCACAGTAAAAAAAATTCTTTTGCTGTTTTTTGTTTGGTGCATTCAGTTGTGAGTTACAGCGTGTTAAAAATGGAAGTGAACAAAGAGAAAATTCGGTACATTTTACAGTTTTGCTTTGACAGCAATGCAAGCCAGGCGGCTAAAATTGTGAATGGTGTTTATGGTTCCGATACTATAACAGCCAATTATGTGCTAAAAATCGACCATAAAACAGTTTTAAACCATTTACACAAAGCTGGATTCAAAAAGAAGCTCGATGTTTGGATGCCACACCAATTAACAGAAAAAAACATGATGGATCGAATTTCCATCTGCGAAGCCTTGGCCAAACGGAATGAGATAGACCCATTTCTTAAACGGATGTTGACTGGAGATGAGAAATGGATCACATACGATAACCCTGTGCGAAAACGATCGTGGTCAAAGAGCGGTGAAGCACCTCAAACGGCCAGGAAGGTTTTGCTATGCATTTGGTGGGACTGGAAAGGGATTATTTATTATGAGTTGCTTCCATATGGCCAAACGCTAAATTCTGATCTCTACTGTCAACAACTGGACCGTTTAAAGATAGCGATTGACCAGAAACGGCCAGAATTGGCCAACAGGTGAGGTGTCGTGTTCCACCAGGACAACGCTAGGCCACACACATCTACAGTGACTCGCCAGAAACTTCGGGAGCTTGGTTGGGAAGTTTTAATGCATCCGCCACACAGTCTGGACTTGGCACCAAGCGATTATCATCTTTTTCTTGCATTGCAAAATTTCTTTAATGATAAAAAATTGGAATCTAGGGAGGATTGTGAAAATCGACTACTAGAGTTTTTTGCAAATAGAGACCAGGACTTCTATGAGAGAGGCATTTTGAAGTTACCTTTAAAATGGCAACAAATCATACAACAAAACGGTGCATATTTGACCCAAATCGGACAATCCGAAGCATGTTAAATAAAGTCCTGAAGTTAATATAAAAATAATGGATTTCTTTTTCCCCAAACTAATATAAAGGGTACTTTTTATTTTTATTAATTCTTTTAATTGTTAATTTATTATAAGGAATAAGGTATGGAGGCGAGATTAAATAAAATCCCTTGCGTACACTTTTCGGCGAAGAAAAGCACAACATTGACTTAACAAATTTTGATAGCATGAGATCAGTTCGAGAACAGGACCCAGCAATACAATTTTTAATAAACATGTAAAGATTTAAGACTCGCTTAATAAATAGAATGTATTATTTGCTTCAAATAAATTTGCATGAAATCCGTGAAATCTGTATACAGTTTATGGATCAGCTGTAGCCTGCATTTGGTATTAAAATCCAGATCATTTAGATATTCCGGAGAAAGATTTACCAATTTGATTTGGCATCGTTCTCGAGACAAGACCACGGTTGGCCGTGATGATATGGACTAAGAATACTAGAATATGAGGCTGCTCAACCAAAATCAAAAAATAGCAGACACAATAGTCACACAATTGCGGAAGAAATAATGTCGTAGATAGACGAAAGTAATTGGAAATCTCCTCAACTGGCAACCGACTTAATTGTACCAAAAACTGACCGCTTGTTTCAACCTAACCTAACATTACTAATCAGTTAAATTTCGTTACTTAAACCAAAATATTTCTAAAAGTATGAAATTTGTCACAAACTTAAGTCCCGAAGAATTTCTTTTGACATATAATGACATTTCTTGATCGGGCGTAGAAAAGCATTTTGGAGAGGTGTGTGTCATAGTGCACGATTGTAAAATTAAAATGTAAATCATTTTCATATATGGGATCGATATAAGGCGTTTAATCACAATAAAGCATGAATTTGAAAAAATTTTGTTCATCATAAGAGGCATCTGCATTCACTTAATTTCCGCAAACACACGCGCATACACATTAAGGCGGCTAGAAAGGAACCGGTTGATAGAAGAGACATTGAATACCAATAAAAGAATTCATTAAGATTTCACACGGCATGCAGCAGTAACCGGAGGAAAGTGATACACAAAATATGTGTGGGAGGTAGTTTTAGTACGTAACCGGCGCGGATAGTGAATCGTATGAATCGTATGATTTTTGCCTCCGGCTCGCATAACAAGAAAAAAGATACGCACACACACAAATCATCATCACGCACGTCATTATAAATTTTCGGGGAACATTTTCCTAATTTACTTCAAGCAGCTAAGTTAATTGAATGAGATTGGTAAAAGTAACGCTTAACTAGCATGATTTCGCTATCTATTCGTTAAGTTAAGCTTACGAATTGCTCGAAGTGCTTAATTGTGATGATATGTAATAAGCTTACCCAATATATTATGATCCTGAAAGTGTCGTTTGCCATTTTCCTCTTTCGGTATCAATAAAATGCCAGGCACTAAAAAGTTGCTATCATCGGGGATTTCTAGATATTTGGCCATGCGTTTAATATCGCGATTTAATTGTAAAGATTCTTGACGCATTTCTTCCGCCTTCAAACCCTACAATGAATGTAACGAATTCAAACTGAATCCCAATAGGAATCAAAGTCTTAGTGAATCTAAATTAAATTTTGTTAACCTGCACAAAAGAATGCAGACGATACATTAGAGGAGCTTGTTTAATTGGATGCAATGAAATGGCGTTATGGATTTCCTTACGTTTCAGCTTGCCAGTGTACGCTGTACGGCCACTGGAATTGTGCCTTAAGATATACTGCATCTAAATTAAGAAAGCAATTATTTTTTATGGGTTTTAGGTGTGCTTATTAAATACTGAACAAACCTCGTAATTCCAAGTACAGGGTATGCCAGCAAATTTTTGAACGCATCGTCCAACTTCCACATCCTCGTGAGTGCTATATAAATTTTTTAGGCAAGTAGGTATATGAGGCGCGACTGTCCTCAATAAGTTTATCAAATATGAGTTTTATTGTTTTCAGCTTTTTCATATAAAATTTTTACCTCTCCTTAACGTTTCACTACTTAGTATAACGCCGGGACCGCCCATGCAAAAATTTTCATCAAATTCTAAGGATAACAAACCAAATTCTTCACTGTTTCCTTTACCGGCTTGACCTGTTTGGCAAATAAATATAATTAATTCATTCCAAGTTAATCATAATTGATTTTCAAAGGCGCTCACCGATAAACTGCGGCTTTGAACTATCAATTGATCTTAAAAACTTTTCCAATTTCTGGGGCTCAATGTAAACATCGTCGTCCGCTCGTATAAACCATTCAAATTTATCAATGTAATGTTCGTACATATAATATAACATCATAAAGGATTTCTTTTGTGGCGGATAACGATCATCGACATTTTTTAGACCGATTACTGGCAACTCGTCAGAATGTGATCCTTCCGAACTAAAAAATGCTATTCGCCCGGGTACTTCTTTACCCCATGTATTGTAAACAGCTTTTGCTCGACCTTCTATAAAATTTTTAGCCGTCATAACACCAACTAATACTAACGTTTTCTGAGAATTATGTATAGTTTCCTCTGGATTAAGACCAATTATCTCGAATGGAGTTTTTTGATTGCTCGGCTTCATTTGACAACGCTTAACGATTTCCAATGCTCGATAATTTTTTAAAACGGTGCCAATACAGAGACCTATGGCAATACCGAAGCAAGCAAATATTAACGTCTTGCGTTTCGTCATGGTGTGTTGCATCATTTTCTGCTGATTTATCGCGTTCAATTTGAGCTATATACGTGTGATTCCCTCCGTTCAATTTACAACATTAACAATGGCATTCTATTAAAAATTAAAAAAGTGAATCAATGCAAAGTAATGGCTACTCAAAATGCTAACAAATATAATCGTATCAAGGTAAGTATCAATATATATATATATATATATATATACATATATATATATATATATATATATAGTGTAGTATAGTAGTATACAATAAAATTGTTTGAAAAGTTTCCGACCTAAGCCAGGAAAAAGATTTTTTTTCAAAGTCTTCTTCAAGTTAATAATACAATAATCTATCCAAAGAGTCCCGTTTTTATGAAAAAAAAAATTAATTAAGACACGAAAAATATACTTCAATTTTCAAATGAAATTATTTAATTCAAATCTTTTTTCCCAGCAGCATGCATGTCCTTGGGATTTCTGCTACAATAGGGAATTAGAACTGGAGAATCCGATAGCTATGGCAACAAGTCGAACTTGAATTAATTGCAATTTTGCCATCGCAACCATTCACTTATGACCCAATATGCAGCAGACAACGTACAATTAGTTTTCTCATGTCCAAATTTTGGTGCAATATGTGACAAACACTATCTTTGCAAATATTCATAGCCGCTGGCATCTTTTGGACCTCGTCCATCATTATGTCGTTAATTCGTGATATTTGTTTCGTAAGTGGTTCAGGTTTTTCGTTGTTCTAATTGGTTATCGATAGTGTCGACTGTTAGCGAGGCCGCGTTTCAATTCAACTACCGCAAAATGTACCGCGACAAATCATGCGAAGTCGCCTTCCCCATTCACTAAAATTCACAAGATGCTCAACTTAGCTTCCATTTTTGCGGGGATATTGTCTTTCAAAAGCAAAAATGCTTATTATTATTATTATTATTATTAATTTAGCCAGAGAAATAAATTCGAAGACCAAAGTCTTAAAGCACTAGCATCTAAGGCTATCGGCATTAGTGAAATCTCTTCCGTACTTGAGATTCGAACCCACGACCATTTAATTTTTAGTCGAGAATCTTTGCCTCAGGCGGATCAAAAATACATAATCAAGTTGCACATAAATGTACGCATCGAGTCATTCAAATGATTGTCAACACAATAAGTCTGCGTTTAAATTGACTGAAATATTTGCAAACTACCTACGCATATGCATATTAACATACTTTGAACGTAATTATTGTGAGTCCTTGCGTTAATGTACGGATATGTACAGTGCACGCATATATCTATACATAGATGCTTAACTCTCTACAAATACCTGGATATGTTTGCAAATTAGTCAAATGATAAAATTCTTGACTTCGTAATAAGAATACTTTTATAAGAGACATGTTACGACGTTCATATTGATTTGCTTACAAGTTTTCTCAATTATTTTTAGGTAATCTAAACACCTCGTTAAAGAAAATATTATCTTCCTAAGTCGTTTGGCTTCGTGCAATTCTAAAAAGTGTTAGATCTAACGATGGATTACCTATGCGTGAAATTATCAATTTTTTATTCGCGAAGTCTGTTTTTAATTCAATAAATGATCGCATTGCGATCAATCGATTTTTTTATCGAATTCGCTCTCTAGCCGAAACTGCAAAACATGGGCATGGCCATTCGCCATTTGATCGCTTATCGAGGTCACTTAATAAATTTATATACATAATTGTAAATAAGCGGAGACTTATATATAGTTCCTAAGACTATTAGTATTTCAAGTTCGTTGCTCAAATCGGGAAATTTTTTACTCTTTAAAAAGATATAACAATGATTATGGGCAGTTGTTATAGCCTTCGGGCCCCTGCATCATAGGCGAATAGATAAGAATGGCGACTAGTCGATGTTCATGGGTTCATATCTCAATAATGCGATAGACTATACTTGCTTGTAGCAACACATAGAATTGATTTTTACAAAAAAAGTCTTTGTCATATAGGCGAGTTCTTGGAAAAGTTTGAGTCACTTCCAAACGCATACTACATAATTGCATTATAATTTTCAAAGTCATATACTGTGTAGGGTTTTTAAAGCTTGCTTCTGTGCGTTATAAAGGTATTGAAAGAAAAACATTAAATTTCGATAGACTGTAATATTGGCTAGGCGTGGTCGATTTTTTCTATTTTTATATATTATATAGCATCGCCCATAAAGTATGGGCTCAAATTCTAGTTTATGAGTAATGAGCAAATAACTAATGTTTTTTGGGTTTTGAAAAACGGAGGTGTTCTCATCTTACGTGGTACTGTACGCGTGTCCTTCAATCGATTTACTCTGTGTTCACTACCAATCTGCGTGCAAGAGCTTCCAATGTTTCTGACAGATTTGAAGTCGATAGCTTCGTTTCTGAACCAGGAGAATGCTATCAACAGACATTACACAGACGAGCAGACGGACATGCTTAAATCGATTCAGTATTTGGTGATCAAAAATATATATACTTTTTGGTGGGCTTCTGAAGCTTACTTCTGGGCGTTGCCAACGTTTTGACAAACTGATGGTTATTATAACAATTATGCCACGATCATTCTCCTCATTATTAATTGGTGAAGAATATGGTTAAGACGCTTTCCCCTCAGGTTAAGCATGATAGCAATTATAGTCTCGTTATAGAAAATTTGTTATTGCGGTAAACTGTACTGCATATATATACATACCACAATAGTCTGTAAATCTATTACAAAAATATTTCAAATAGTTTTGGCTCTTTTATAGTCCACATTACTTGTGGGTACAGGGGTATATTGTAAAGGGTATGTATGCAATACCTGATAGACTCATCTTTTATTATAAAGATTTGACGGATCCAGAATCACTCAGCTTGTCTATATGCCTTGTTCCGTTTCATTTTCAAGGCCGCAATTTTTGAAATATTTTGATGAATTTTTGTATACAGACGCTCTTTGGGTCTAAGTATGCACTCTATTGAAGATGGTTGGAATCGGCCACTTTCCATACAAAGTGTTATTTTGAAAGTCGTTATGTGAATAATTGTAAAATGTTGTAGGGGACTGCAGCCGCATGACCCGAAGCTATGACGACTATAGTGCTTTTACTTTTTTTACCCTCGAAAAACTATTCCCCAATTTTGCTCAAACTTTCTCTTTATAAATATAAACATGTAAAAATTCCCCCGACTAAGCGCTAGTATAACGATTGGAGCAATAGACATCGTGAAAATGATTCTTATCGACGTAAATGAGTCCACAACAACTTTCCTATATAAACAAAGCTTTAAATGTTTCGTCTTGTTTCGTCTCTTCTATTTTGACTTACTATTTAGCTTAGATCTGGAAACAAATATAATTTTTATCAGATCGCTTAGCTCTGAATTGGTTAGAGCCGATTAGGAAGGTCATAATTAACATAAATGGTTTACATCTTCTCCGCTATATGTACAAAGCAGCTACTGATTAAATAGACAATTTATTGATGAAAATACCTTGAAGTGTTCGATTTTTCGTAATCTTTCAAATGCCAGTTTCGGAGGTGTGGGATCAAAATCATTGTTCAATTTAGTTGTTAGTGGTCATATCCAGGGATCGATTAATGCCAATATTACGAAACGCTACCACTCATGCCGAGTTAGAAGCCGGAATCTCATAACTCTGTTATCGATAAGAAATCTTAAGAACCCCTGTATAGCTTGCTGGACATTCTGGTTGTAATCTTTGTTAACAATTATATGGAAATCGCCATATGTCCATGTTAACGGTGATAATAATTGCATGAAAACGGTTTACGTTATATTTATGTGGGTCGTGCCATTGTCGTCAGAAGGTTGCGTGGCTATCTTGAAAATTTGTACTAAATTCAGAACGTTATTTATTACAATAATTTTCAACATCCTCCCCTGTCTTGTTCACCTTATGAACAATTAGCAGAAAATGTAAAAAAAAAATATCTATAAAGACTTAATCATTTATAACTCTGTGTGGGCTTCGGCGATATTTATATTTTCCGTTTTTTTATAAAAATAGCAGGATGCTCTATAAGGTAAATACAGAAGATTTCCGAAAAAATCACCAATTTTTGCTTAGAGAAACCATTATGTGTCCAGCTTACACTTTACTGTAGATGGGCCCTTTGACCAATTTGTCCTACTTTCAATACCTGCGCACAAGAACTTCCAATGCTTTTGCTAAATTTAAAGCCGACAGCTTCGCTCGTGAAACCAGGAGATGGGCGTTTTATTTTAAAGTTAAAGTGTTTGCAACGCCCAAGTGTAGCTCTAGAGAGCCAACAAAGTGTATATATCTTTGAATATGATCAAATTCTGAATTGATTTAACCATGTCCGTCTGTCCCCGCCTGTGTTATGCTTGCTGTAAACATTTTCCCGTTAGCTAAAATAAAGCTATCGACTTTTGCAAATTTGCAAAAGACGTCGAAAATCAAACACGACTGCAAAATTCACGCATACGTACAACAAAAATTAGCAACGCCTCGTTGCTCATAAACTAAAGCACGATATAAATTTCCACAAAATTATTCTACAAATATAGAAAAAATTAGTGACGGCCATGTTGAAGTTCATATTTTTCCTTTTTTTCAATCTTTTATAGCATAACGGTGACGGGCAATGTAATTTTCTTAATTGCTAAATTTGATCTGTTATTCAATGAACGCTGTGTGCATGCACGCAGCAAGGATAATAGATGGAGGAGAGGGTGAGCTGCATTTGGACTGGATTTGATGACTTGATAGTCGGAATAACTGAAATAGTAGGAAATATGATTGCAGGTTGTTTCGGAGGTGGACGATGCAATTAAAAAATGAGCAGGCGCGGTAGTGCGGCATCTCTGTGTAGTTAGATAATAAGTACAGCGTAAGCATATAATAAGTTATAAAATAAGTTTAGTTAAATCGTCGCAACTGTCACTTAGGACGGATTATAATAAAGCAAAAAGCAAGAGAATAATTTCTTACAATAGGTTATATGATTTAACGTGCGATATATCAGGGGGAGAATGGATGCAAATACTTGGAAAGTTCAGAAGTCCTATTATTGAGGACTAGGACTAGAATGATGAACAGATGTTCGCCTGATAGGTATTCATAGATAAGCGCAGTATAGCCTATGTTACATTGATACTCAAGAACGTCGATGGTTTTGGACATGACTACGCCACATATGGATATTTGAGTACGTTGCTTGATGGTATGAAAATGGAGCACTCACGTTTATTATTGCGGAAAATTTGCATCAATCTGGCGTATATCGAAAAAATTGATTTTCCTGCTTTTATAATTAATCAGCTATTTAAGTCAAACTTGATCTTCGAAAATATCCGTTATTTGTCCGAAAATTCAAATCGATTACCATTACAATCCATAGTTTTTGAAGAAACCATTGTAATATTTTCGGTTTCAAGAGTATTACGTATCTCGTTAGATTTGGATGCTTATGAGAATCGATCGAGGTTGGTACTCTGGATTGTATATATTCGTGCATTAATCATTAAATAGGTAATCTATAAAAATTCATATTCACGTACATACATACATATTTACTATTAACATTTTGAGCTATTGCTGCCACCATATATAACATTCGGGCGATGCGATCTGCAGCTATTGCTCGCCCGAATACAAGAGAAAAGTGTTCACTTCTTTTTAAACAACCTTTTGTTTAATGCTAAGGATCAAACGATACTTTATTTTTCTTGATTTCATTGTAACCTTCTTTTTCTTCTAATATATTACCAAAACATTATTATTATTATTATTATTATTATTATAAACTTAGCCAGAGAATAAATTCTAAGACTAAACTCTTAAAAGCGCTAGCATCTAAAGCTATCGACTTTTATTAAAAACTCTACCGCACTTGAGATTTGAACCCACGAGCATTGAGTTTTACCAAAACATTATTTAATAATTAGTTACTATTTGTGAGAGTGCGTACTTCATAACTACTACTGTTATATTTTAAGTGAATGTGACAAAATATTAGCAATTAAAAGTCATTTGGGAACTATTTGCCGATATTCGTTGTATTAATGTTAATGACATCCATTCACTTTTTGCTTATAATGAGAATATTTTGGCAAATCATTTTTGCTAAATTAATTGCAATTATAATAAGTATATAACAATATAAAGCATAAGTTGCTATAACAATCACCCTTTTTTTCCTTTTTTTTTTTTTAAAGCGAAAATTTTGCTATCAACTTCAAAATGTTTATACTTTCTGGTTATGTGTGAATTTAAAGACAATCTAAGGCCTGTTGCTCATATACGCAATTAGACAGTTGCGTGCACATATTCGCATTCACTTGACATTAGAGAGAGGGAGAGAAAATGTCAAGATCTTTTTGAATGCAATAACGAGTAATCGTAAATTTTTATTAAAAAAAATAAAGAGAAATAGAAAGAGAGAGAATGATTTAGGTGTCATATGATATATGAAATATAGCGTACAATGCCATTATTGATTAGCGCTATTATTTCTTGTAAGAGTGCAACAATTCTAGTCAATGATATCATTTTCTAGCCTATGTTTACACGCACTGAGAGATTCCATTAATATGTACACATGTGTATATCTATTCGATAGGTTATTGGTTTTCTTTTAAACTTTATTAATTAAATGTATATATGTGCATATATCTACACATATATCCTAATGTTTAAAATATAAATATTTTATGTTGTTTGTCAAAATGCAAGCTCACCCGCTATGAGATTATTTCAAAAATATTAAAGAGACTACAATTTTATTATTTTTCTATTTTTTTTGCTAAATTTGAGGTTTCAATGGCTTCGTTTCTCGCAACACTTTGTCATACCTATGTTTTTCTTATTTCTTCTTACTTATCCAGTCATTAACATTCTTGTAGGCGGCCGTTGTGCTGGTTTACTCTTTCTTTCTTTGTTTCTCTCGTTCCTGACGTAATCTTTCAATTAATATTTGCAAGCTTTTGTCTCTCTAAGATATTTTAATTCTTGTTCGGTCGATGAGTAGATTTTTCCTTTTTTTAATTTTCTTCTTATTTAAATGAGATTTATTTGTTATTTTAAGACAAGAATTATCACTTTTTCTATTCATTTAGACGTTTACTCAAGACTTTCAAGGTTATTTATAATTAAATATATATCTTTTTTTGAAATTTTCACATTTTTATTATGCCGCCAGCTCGATCAGCAGCAAGCGTTTTCAATTATGTGCATTATTTTCACGACTGAATATTAAAACAAATTCACAACAATTGAATGCTTATGATGTTAACGTTACAGTGGAACCTAAAATAAGTTTATGTTCGAAGAATACTTAATTGTTGATAATTGTGAGAAATATCCCAAAATACTTTAGATATTTTATTAATTATCAACAGACCTGAGTTTCTGGCAGGGCATATCCATAAGAACTCTAAAAAATTATGAAAGATGAGAACTTTTTCCAATTTCGTTTCAGATACAATATCATCTTTTAACATATCTAGGCTTACGCGTTCAGTTCTGCCTGTCTTTCATTTTTGACCTAAGATATGCTATAAATTAATTGCTAAAATAAATAACCAATTTTTGAATGCGAGGCTTAATCGATTTATTCCCATCAATAACGCGTTTTATATCCATAAGCGGATATTTACGTTCATTTACTGCCCCTTTGGATGCTTAGCCGTCACATGTATGTGAAAAATGGCAAAAAGCTACTACATTCAACAAACATTCTAATCATTATATTAACGCTATGCAGAAATGTATTTTATACTTTGGGATAGCGCTTTGCCATTTTTTAAACCATTTTATGTAAAAGCATACTTTTGGGCCGATTTTGATTTTTAATTATTCCATCAAAGAAAAAAAAAAGATAAATAAGAAACAAAGAAGAGGATTAAGCTACAGGAGGTGTTTTGGAAAAATTTTCAGAGAGATATTCTTCAAAAGATTCTATTATATATGCCATGGATTGAATTTTTTGCATTTGTTATTTATTATTGATACGTATGGGATGATACTCAGCCAAGAAAGGGATATATCATTTAGCTTAGGGAATACAGGAGCCAAAATTCTATTATTTATTGCCTTTAAATCGTTAATATTATCCCAGGCGGCCAGAAGAGTTTCCCCTACGCAATAATAATAATTTATTATGATTTGGCTGTCTGCATGTGATTAAAAAACAGTAAAAGTAACGATTAAGCATTTGAAATTGCCGAACATTTTAATAATTGTACAGTAATCAAACATTTTGTTACGCACACAAACACATTAACAGGTTCAAAAATCTGGAATTGTATAAAGATCCCCTCCAGCGAATGAATCATCAAGCGTTAAAATAAGCGCCCATTACTATATTTAGGGATAATTGCTGACGATCGGGTGGATTGGCAATTGAAAGTCTCGTCTCCATAACGCCCCTTAGATAGTATACCGTTTCGTTTTTCGTTGCCGCGGAATATACTATAAATCTTAACATAAATCAAGGGTTAGGAAACGAATTTTTAAGGTAGCGAAAGATTGATCCACCGCGGACGTCGATTGCAGTGCACATAGATGATACTTACGGGTCTTTACGACTGAAGAGCTTTGTCATTGGTTCGACAGCATGCTAAATCAGAATGTACCCATCGAAATAATAAAAAATAGCTTTAATTGCGCAATTTAGGAGTTAAGATCAAGGAAGAGTTTTTAGTATTTTAAGTTTTTATTTTTTATTTATTTATTTATTTCTTGCATTTTTATTATAATTAACTTTTGTATAAGTTATATTCAAATGATGTAAGCGGGTAACTCGCTTTACATACTAATTCATATGTGATGGCGAAAGTTTGCGGAAAATATGTTAAATAATTACGTGCTTTTGTAAATATGTTAAAAGTAAATAAAGGCAAACTATTCCTATAACATAACCTTTGCCAATTCTGCAGAAAATTTTCAATTTACAATTTGATGGAACATTTGACGGGCATAAAATCTTGAAATCTTATTAACGATGAGACGAAATCAAGTTTTGCCTTTTCTGCTTTGTACATACGCACGTACACGCGTATCTTAATTTATGTGCACTTAAGAGGACGACGAAGCGTTATTGCTTCTGATTTGGTATAGTGTAACGTTGCGTTAAAAAGTGTTTTATAGGATTTTTTTCTATAGCAGCGAAATTACTGCTAAAGCAGCAGATCTCCTTCTATTATAATGCTTATAAGATTTGGAAAGTCGTCAAAGATACCGTTTGATGCGGTCTTTTATCCTAAAAACAAAGCCTTTTCCTTTCGTTATTAGCTCGCTCTTATTTTGGGTAAAAATAAGAATTTTGTTAGACAGTGTGGCGTAGGCTGTTTAATAGACGGACTATCCCGTTGTTTCCTTATTAAAGGTGTAAAGAAATCATTATAACTTCTAAAAAGATTTGCTTTGAAAATTTGGTTATCACGAAGCGTGAATTGTTGCGTGGAACCGCGGAACCGCCATGCGGCCATGGGGAACAGTAAGGTATCTATTCGAACGTTGTGACTAGTTACTAGTTATAAGAGAAAACATACACAACAAGATATTTTCTTGTTTTAGTTCTTGTGATGAATGTATATGAAATTTGGTAGTCTTGAGTAATAACCGCAGTAAAAGGCTTCAGTATCAATTTTGTTACAAAAACGAATGAAAACGCTATGATGTGGCACGGCCCAACATTAAATAACCTACACACTAGTGTTATCCACTTTGTCGACTTTTTAAAATAAGGCTTTATATGGGAAGTGGTGGAAAAAATGGGCCAATCCGAACCATTTTCAATAACAATTGTCCTTGGACTAAAGCAAGTCAATGTACCAAGTTTCATCCGGCTTAAAAATTACGGCTCGTAAATTGAAAACAAAAAAACTAGGCAGACCGAAGGACAGGCGGACGGACAAGCTTAGATCGATATTGACTGAATATGGCTTTGAAACGATCGATATAATAATAGATTGGTCTATCGCAAGTCCTTCCGGGTGTTGAATATATCCGGGCAAACTTAACATGATTTTGTATAACATGTGATATAGCAAAGTTGTTAAGTCACGCGAACTTCGATCTCGTACATAAGTCGCGCAGAATTATCGTTAAAATGCAACTAGCAAACAAGCAACATCGACTCATTGAGCTCAAATCGTAAAAGTAAAAAAAATAGTTTCTCTACAAATCTCATTCTTGGCGACCTGCTTTAAAAGCAGACAAAGAGGAAACGAAGGCGACGACTTGACCAATATCGATATTTTAAATTAATTACGACTTCAGATTGAAAGTATAACGCGATTATCGATGAATATAAATTCAATTTTATGATCGCGAGCCTTTATCTATCAAACTTGGCAAATTACTAACTTGATAAGTTGACGGTCAGATTCACGTTGATACTTATTTGTCTTACTTATGTATACGTATCTTACAAACTTTATTTACTGTTATGCGGTTAATTGTACGTAGTAGACAATACAAATCATTAAATTGTTAGGGATAATTTCTCACGTGACATATATATGATATAGAAATATATATATACATATATAAACTTGCGCAAAATTAATTAGAACACTAGATTGTCATGTACATGTCTATATATATATGCATACGAGGGTTAAGCAAAAGGTGATGATTATAATTGATTACAACAAGAGTGAATAAAATTAAATGATTTCATTATCCAGCTGATCAGTGCAGCACTATAATGCGTTTTATATATCGTTCGCCACGTTTAAGTATTTCGTTGCTGTCCGAAGAGAAAATATCTCCTTAAGTAAATCGTAACCATTGTGCGCATCGCTTTCATTATTGGTAAGCTAACGATATACACTCGTAGAGTTGTGCTTTGCCGTGTATATCGTCGTTCAGATCGTCGAAAGCTTAAATGATGTGACCAGGAGCCGAGTTACAAAGCCATCCGGAGCTTATGAATTATTGACTTCAGCCCATTTTGCTGCTCAATGAAAAATTACTGTTTCAAAGGACATAGTTATGAGTTTAGAAAAATTAAAAAAAAAAAAAACTATTTTGTTCGATCACTTTTGTGCTCCTCGCTTCACATTGGATTTTAATGAACTACTTCTTCTTTGCACTGGAGATTGTAACAAAAAAAAAAAACGAACTTATATCTACATAGGCGAAATCAACAAGCAGCTGCTTTATACAATAAAGAGTACAAACATCTGTATGTACAAACTTTATAGGTCAGAGTTCCCCTCGTTTGATTTATATTTCACATTCTTATACTTTTTATATTGCATGTGGTACAAGGGTATATCAAGGTTATGGCAATGTATATAGTATCCAGAAAGATTTGGGATCCATCCACCTTTTTATGTATCGAACGCTCTACAATCACTCTCTGAATCGATTTGAGTTTGTCTGTCCATCTGCTCATCTTGTTTTCTTGTATATGCCACCTACACGCCGCAATTCTTGAGATGTTTTGATGAAATTTGATACACTGGCACATTTTTGGACTCGAGGACGAATTCTATTGAAAATAACTCGGATTGGAACGCTTTCTTAACCAATTTCCATGTAAATTTATTGCATTGCTTGCTATATAATTGCTCCTACGGAAATTTAAGTTTTTTATAGTAAAAAGTCATAAAAATACTTCTTGATGAAAATTTGTTCATAATAGCGATATAAAAGTTAATCTTTTGCCCAATTTGGACCACGTAGGCGTGTTTTTTGGATTCCAACTAATATAAGGGTTGTAATGAAAAATATGCCTTCGTATGCCAAAAAGGTCTAACTTTTAATATTTTATGATGAAAATTGGTCCTTAGTAACTTAACCATACGGAATTTGGACCACATAGGCCTATTATTATTGTGGCCGCATCATATAAAGGAGCGCTCTTACGAAAGTAAACTCTTGCATGGCGACAACGTCTAATTTGTGGTTTCTTATGACGGAAGCAACTGGAAAATATAAAAAATCCTCGGGAAGTAAATTAAGTTTGCTAAGTTTAG